TATTGGATACATTGGATTATGTGGGCACATGCTTTCCTTGGTATCGGTTTCAAGTTTGACATCATTATAGACTGATTCAAGGGAGGGAAATTTATTCGTCCCTAGAACTTGTACTCTTTGAAGTTCAAAGTGATGATGTAAGCTTGTAAGAATTCAAAGATCCTTCCTTACTCGGCATGTTTTTTAGTGTCATCAACGATGGTATTAATAGGTTAATAGTGCTCTAGTTCTTCCCACTTATGCCTTAGTCTCCCAATGTACTCTTCCACAGTCATTTCTCCTTGCTGCAAATTCACTATTTTATGATGCAATTGGTAAATCCTAGCCATATCATCTCGTTGCTAGTATGTCTTGGCTAGTGCCTGCTATATATCTTTTGTAGTCTTAAGAAACACCAACCCCCTATCGATACTTAGCTGCATGGAATGAATGAGCCACGTCATTATTGTTGAGTTCTCACTTTCCGATTCATCATGGGAAGGATCATTTGTCAGAGGTTCTTTAATGTTTTGCGTGAAATAACCTAATTTTCTCTGGCTTCTTATGAATATTTTGGAAGATTGGGACTATTCTAAGTAGTTTGTCACATCTAGCTTAATGGTAGTGATCATCAATCTTGGGTGGTCAGATTAAGTGCTTCCTAAGGAAATATTGTGCTTGATTTCGAACATTTTTCTTCTCTCGAACTAGAAACCCTTAGTTTCAAATGTGAGGTTATTGGAAATGTGAGGTTGCTGGAATATGATGTTGTTGGAAATATGAGGCTGCTGAAAATTAAAGGAGTTTGGGATATAAACATTTTTATCAGTAAAGATGATCTTGTTGGAAATACGAAGTTGCTGATAAACTACGGTTTCAAGCCCGCCCAAAAATGAAGAAAAAACATGATTCTAGGGTCATTGGAAGTAATGGATATCCTAGGGTTCAAGCCCTGAGATTGAGAGAGAATAGAGGAAATAGTATTCAAGCACAAGATAAGGAAAATATAGATATTTTTTATTCTATTCAAATCATGGAGCAATGTGCCTTATATATACATAGATCCCTGTGGGAGTTGCAATACAAGTTGCTCAACATGCATAGTTGTTACAACCATTATGCATGACTGTTATATAACGGTTACAACAGGAAATCATCCGCATATAGTAATTGTTCAGCAGGAAAATCACGCAAATATGGTAGGATATTATACTCATTATCACCACATGCAAGTTTCCATAATGGGCATGAGGCCCATAATGATTATTGGAGGTTTCTTTATTGGTCATGGGGTGCATAACAGTCGCTACATATTTAATGTAATGATTTGCCAAAGACCCATTTATTTTTACTGTTCAAATATTTTATATACTATTTTAGATGTATTGTATATAGAATTCTTAGAAGTTTCCGTGCATCATCCAACTATCAGAATTATACTCTCTATTCAAGGCTTTATTTAGAGCCTAAAGATGGCATTCCAAGACTGTTGCGTTTTAAATGACTTCTTTCACAATCATATGTATGCTATAAAATCATATGTTCCTTGTCCAAGCAACTTATTCCAGTCTATGTGAAATGAAAGACGAGCATGGAGCAATAAAAAAGCATTTTTATTTGCATAAATAATCAGACATGTATCACCATGTTATATGGACCTTGATGCTAGTGTCAGTGTATAACACGTGTTTATAGTGTCTATTACTTACTCAAAAAAAGCCGATACCAGAAGACGCTTCCGTACAATTTATTGTAGTTTATTAAATAATACTTGTGGCATAGTAGTGAAATTTCCAAACATGATGGGCATGACAGATGGAATGCAAGTTTCAGAATATGTTGGCCCTCTTTAAGAGGTCCTGAGTTGAATCTAGGTTGACATTTTGATAGTTTGTATTCATGCCCTTGTTTGGAGGTGTTAACACATGTCAAAGTATCGACATAACATTGGAGAAAAGACGATTTGTCGGTGTTTCACTACACATCATGGTATTCCATTTGAATGTGCAGAATTCTTTGATCAAACAATTAGCATCCATTAAAGGTATGAAGATTCAATTTGCATATAGCTTTAGATAGAAACTTGCATGCCCTCTATTTTTTTTTTTGGGTAGATCAGTAGGAAAGGGGTCTCCTACCCATATTAGAGATGGAACTCAAGATGTCATGTTGTGGCATCCCGACCTTGACCACCTATGTCTTAAGTCATTCATATTTGCATGCATATTACAATAAAGTCTAGTAACGTAAGAGGAAAAATAGCAAAGAACCAATCATTTTGTAACCTAGTGCAACACAAACATATGTACCCAAAACAATCGATTGTATAATGTATGATTACAATGCAGTTACAGTCACGTTGGTGGAATGTGCAATCTGTTCAACAACAAGGTCGAGCTACATGACTTACCTAATCCTGATGCGCAATGGGTTTACGGTCTTAACCATGATAGGAAGCTCAGTTAGGCACGTCCCTTTGTCAGATAGGACCCACAACTCTTATGTGGTGCCACTCTGTTGGTCAGAGGCAAGTCTTAGTCATGGTAGCTCCACGCTATTAAGAAAAAAGGGATCATAACCTAACCGTGATACTTCTTTGACTCTCACTTGCATGCACTCATGTTCATCCTAGGTTTTTCTTTTTTCATTTTTTTTTTTATTGGTTTCTTGATGTTCTACAATCTCCATGCAATCCATAATTTCCAGGGTTTTGCATGTGCAAGGAAACGACGACATTACTTAAGAGTGGTATTTAGGAAGTAGTAGGCCCTTCCAAAGGGAAGAAGTTGGTTAGTTGCTAATGAGTCTACACTATGAAGCATAAGGCTGATGGTACCATTAACAGATACAAGGTGAGATTAGTTGCCAAGGGATTTATGTAGACCTATGGAGGAAACTACCAGGAAAGGTTTGCCTCTGGGCTAAGATGAATTCCATCAGGGTAATTATGTCTTTGGCAGCTAACTTTGAGTGGCCCTTGCATGAATTGGATGTCAAGAATACATCCCTTCATGGGGAATTATAGGATGAAGTGTACATGGTACCTCCACCTGGATTTCACGCTCTTGGATGTGAAGGAGAAATTTGTAGAATGAGAAAGACCATCTATGGGCTGAAGTAGTCTCCTCAAGCTTGGTTTGAGAAGTTTGGGGGTGATGTTCAAAGAATGAAGTATATTGGAAATCATGTTTACATAGGTTATTTTTAAATATAACAAGACCAACACCACTATTGCAATTGTAAATACGAATGACATTGTTGTAACTAGTAATTGTCCTAGGGAGATTCTACAACTAAAAATTATCTGCTGAGAGAGTTTAAAATCAAAGGTCTATGTCCATTGAAGTTCTTTTTTGGAGTAAAAGCGGCTGGGTTTAAAAAGAGGAATCTTCATCTCTCAAAGGAAGTGTATATAGGATCTCCTTAAGGAAATAGGAAAGCTTTGGGCTAAACTAGCTGATGCACCTGTAGAACAAAATAACAAACTTGATGGCCAAAAAGGGTTGAGGCATTCAAGGGGGTGAGTATTTTTCAAAGATTAATGTCCCCACTAATATATTCCTTTCACTTACATGCCCAGACATTGCTTATGCTGTGATTGTGATTAGTAAATTTATGCATTCTCCACGAACTATCCACCTTCAGGCTGATGTTAGAGTTTCAGGTACCTAAAATTATCACCGGGAAGACGACTGTTGTTTGCTGATTGTTAGCATTTTCAAGCTGAGGCCTATGCAGATGTAGAATGAACTAGTTTTATTGTGGAGCAAAGTAGGTTTTTGTACTTTCGCTGGTGGGAACTTGTAATTTGGAGGAGTAAAAAGCTATCAGTTGTAACAAGGTCAAATGCAAAAGTTGAGTATAGATCCATGGCTCATTCTGTATGTGAATTACTTTGACTGAAAAACTTTTCACGAGAACTTGGTTTTTTCTTAAAAGATTCAATGTCTTTATATTGTGATAACAAGGCAACAATTAGTAGAGCTCATAATCCCGTTCAGCAGGCAATAATATAAAAGTAGATCGACAATTTATTGGAGAAGGTTGCTGCAAAGGAAATTTGTCTTCCATATTGTCAAAACAGAAGACCGGCTATCGGACATTCTTACCAAGGCTATTGTTAGATCTCAACTACAAATGATCTTAAGAAAGCTGGGCATGACATATCTATGCTCCCACTTGAGGGGGATTGATGTAAACACCTATGTTTATATTTATTTCCTTTTGTTAAGACCATAGGGATTTATTTGTCTTTTGCCTTTCTTAAGGGTGGTTTTGTACATTACTAGTATAAACTGACATAAGTGGGGCATGGGGGTCAGCAGGAGTGGACTCTCTTACTCTCTGACCACTCTCTTGCTCTCTCGTTCTAGATCTCAATCTCTCTTATACTCTTTCATGTCTTACGTATTAGTTTCTTGTAGTTTAATCTAAACAACATGAAGGTTTTGATGGGCTTAGGCCATAAAGTGGGTCTATCCTGGATGAGGCAAGAAGGTTTACCGCTGTCCTAGAAAAATGCCATCTCTAACTATTCCATTTGGAGCTTATCTGGGTGTGCAAACAAGGCCCAGAGATCTCAGTTGTACTTGGATCAATGTTATTCAATTTCAACTTCTAAACCCTACTAAATGCCATGCTCTGTGCATCCTGAAGAAAATCTTCTACTAGGTATAAAGACAACAAGGCACATTTGAGAGAAAAATGATGGCTTCTGAACAAGCCTCGAAAATAATAAAACTCATACCCAAAAGATCTGATATAACTTCCACAGCAGACTTTTGTAACTCTCTTCTGTAGCCTGTGCTCATCTGTAATCTTTGAAAGCTCTCAAGACAACATCGGCCTCTTGTGATCTTCTAGTAAAATTTAGTTGTTGGAGGACTTACCATGCCTATTAATGTGTTTGTTTTGCATCAATTTCCATATCAATACAATGCCCAATTTGAACCATTTTAAACTGGTATCCTAGAACCACACTTATATCTTGATAATTTTTTTTCTCCCTTTCCTTGTCGTAGGTACGTAGTATGATTTTCGCCAGGGATGTGCGGAGGCAACTTTGTCAGATAATGCAAAAGATGGCAAAAGGCAAGTATAACTTAAATGCCTAACAAATCTATGTATGGGTACAAAAGAAAAATTATTGCTTTGTATGTTGAGTTTGAATTTAACACTCTATGGGCTCTATGATTTTAATATTTGGTTTTACCAGAGGTAACGTTTGAAATGTAAAGTTCTTAGTACATTGCTTATGTGAGGCATGAATTCCAATTAATGACATCCTTGATACACAATAAAGTTCTCTATATATTATGCACAGACTCTGCTTAGGGCATAAAGTTATTACGTAAGAATGTCCTGAAATGCAAGATGCTATGGTGTGTGTCACAACACCAGGGCCATTGGATGTAAGGGCTGATCGAAGAGCTAGTGAAATTGATCGCGACTACACAAGCTTGAGAAAGGCTTTGAGTATTGGCTTTGCAAATCGGATTGCAGAGCGCATGCTGCACCACAATGGCTACAGAACCCTGGGCTACAAATCTGAACTTGTCCAGGTAGATTTGTGTATGATATTTAGAATGTTTCAAATTAGATTAGCAAAACACGTTTGATTTATTCTATAGAAAAAATTCGACTACGTCAATTTCTATTCCCTTGAATAGTAATAAACTGCAATTTCAACTCTGACTCACATGGTACCACTACCCCAAAACTTTATTGGAAACAACCATACTGTCACTATTGGGGCACTTTTGATGGCATCTATTAAATTTATAGGAAGTTACTCATCAATGACATCCATAATACCAAATTTGTTGTCCTAAACATAGAAAGATCCCATATTAAAGTGAAAAATTTTCATGTTTCATTATCTTATTTTGCACTGAGAACACTGTTAGTCAAACTAAGATTATAACCCTGCACTAGGGGTGGCAATGGACCCCCCCTGCCTTTGGCTAAAAAATAGGGCCTGAGCCACAAAATGTAGCAAAAGGGTCGGGCTAGGGCGGGCCGGGCCTAGGCCAGTCCTCAAGGGAACATGGCCGGACTATGGGCAAGGCTGCCCCAAGCCCGGTGCCAGCCCTACCTTGCACACAGTTCTCAATGCACATTGCTTATTCATGCTTCGATGTTTATGACCTTCTAGTTTTTTGTATCCAATGCTTGTTAAATCTGTGTTAGAATAACATGTACACACTATTATACTTCCTTGGAAGATAATATATGAACTCACATATGGAGATCAAGTGTGTGCCTTTCTATTTGAGTGCTTTTGTGCATTCACTTTTGTATGTATTTATGGATTTTTACTTGCACCTATGTTCATGTGTACATGCAAAAAAATGCACACTTGTGCATGAATGTCTTCTGAGCTATGTATGTGTCTCATATATATGTAGAGGAGCTTGTGATTTGTTTATGTTATATCTATATAATTGATGAAGGATATAGCAATTATAAAAAATCCACAGTATTACTGTCATAGAAAACATATAGCATAGTTTTCTTTATTTTGCACTGAATCAGTTTGATTTTATCAAATATCAAAGCCAAACCTGAACGATGCCAAATTGGGTCAAATTTTGGGGTGGCATATATGGTGTCTTTGTGATGTGCTGCTGATTTTTTAGCCAGAAAAAATAAACACAGCGCATTACTTGTATGATAAAAATCTCTATGCTACGTAACAAATTCAGTAGTGCCTCTCAAACAGATTTGACAGATTCGAAGGGCATCATCCGCTCATTAAGAATTGATTTTGAAGCCATTCAGAGTTCTTGGTGAAAAAATCAGCCTGCTGATGCTTGTAAGATGCATGGGGTAAAGCTACATGCCGTGAAAGAAATTCCTGTCATGATCACTCAAGCCATTAGCATGCTCCAAGTGTTGGTCTGAAAATTTGAGGAATGCTGTAACCAAAGCAGATTTGTGTTCCTTTGACAGTACCTTCTTCATTTAGGATATCTCACTTACTACAAAGAACCTGAAGGCATTCAGGTCATTCATCATAATGTGCGACCAGTTTCCAATAAATGATTTAGGGCTTTGTACTCACTTTCTTTACGTTGAACTCAACACTCACATAGGATAGTGCTAAGTCCTCATGATTATGCATGGGCCATATAATAATAGGACTTATGGCCTCACTGAGGGTATGACGCTTGATAGAGCAGACTGGTGGATCAGGATTCGTGTAGCCAACCCCAATTAGTTGGGAAAAGGCTTTGATGATGATGATGAATAATAAGACTGTCACAGCACCTATGTATTAATGCTAATTATTCTAAAACAAAGTCCTTGTTTATGCTCTTTCCATATGGTCAACTTATCAAAGTTTTTGTCCATATTCGAGCAGACTCAGATCATTCGAGTCTGGGTAAGTGTTAATCAGACTTAACGGATTTCTGTACACTAGTTTTATGTCTGTTTTGCAAAACTTATTCAATTCATTTAATATTGTTAAAAGTCTTAAAGATTAAATCGTTATGTGGTTATGAGTGTTGCATGTAGTATTGGCTTTTGTCTTTTTTATAAATTTTAGGACATTAGGTTTTACTAATGTACTTAAAGGGTATTTTTGCAATAATATCATCTAGTTATCCTAAATAAAGCTTAAGAGGTGTATGGGCTAGGAAATTAGTCTACACACCTCTCTATCTCTTCCCTTTCATCTTTTCTCTCCTCTTTCTTTTCCTCTTCTTTTCCCTTTCTCTCTCTAGTTTTTACTGTTCACATTACTGTTAACATGGTATCAGAGAAGATCAATTTAGATCTTCTCCTTTCCTTCAACTTTTAGAGGAGAAAAAAGAGAGAGAAGAAGTGAAGAAGGGAAACCCTAATCTCGTTCGTTGCTGATCTTGTCAAGCTTTATCCAATTTGTTTTTGTATGCAGGGCCATTATGATGGGCTGCACGTGCTGTGAATGTTTATGTTGCTTAGTTTCCTCTCTTGGATGTGAAAAATGAAAGGAACGGTTGCTGAAATGTCTCAAAGTGTGTGGCTGAAGCAATAGGAGTTCTGTTGGGGATCATCGATGCCTGAATGATAATTTTTTCCTTCATAAGTGATTGAAAATTGTTATATGTGCAGTCCTTTGTCTTGCAAACTACTGTCTTTTAGATTCAGTGAATTTATAAAGTTCAATTTAGTGTTTTAGGGCTTCTGATTGTGCTCAGCCTGATATATTCTTGCATCCCTTTTTTGTCTGTTATCATCTTTCCCTTGTGGCTGAAGAAAGTAAGCCTGGAATGTCTACCATTAATGACATGATACAAATTTCAGCAACTACTGAGAAATTAAATGGTCTAGTTACCTCTTATGGCCCAAGTCTATAACGGTATTTCTTAGTGCATGGGGAAAGATGAAGTTTTTGACTAAAGATAGGCCAAAAGAGTCAGATAATGGGTATGAGGAGCGACTTAAGGAAACTATCAAATTATGACCTGGCTATGGAGTAGTATGGAACCCCATGTGAGGGCTAATGTCATGTATTTTGATACTGCCAAGAAGTGTGGGAGGCGGTACATGAGATGTACTTTTCTGATGAAAATATTTCCCGAATCTATCAACTCTATGACAGCATGTTCCTTTTACATCAAGGCAACAACAGTCTTGGTGATTATTATAGTACTCTTTGAGGTATGTGAGAAGAGTTAAACATGTATCAACCTCTGTCAAATGGCATGGAGCTTCTAAAGAAGCAAAGGGAAGCATTTAGAGTTGCAAAGTTCTTGTTCGGCTTGAGTTCTGAATATTGTTTTGTTCGTGCCCAGATCTTGGCTAGCAGTGAACTTCCTTCTCTCAACCATGTGTACTCACGTCTTCAACGGGTTACCATATCTACTGCCAATGTGAGTGATGGATTTGCCTTGACCTCCACAATGGACAGAGGTGATGGTATGGGCTGTGGTGGTGGTAATAGAGGACGTGGCCTTGATTCAAGGGGAGCTCATGGTAGAGGCCGAGGAAACCTGAAGTGCACCCACTGAGGACAGACCAATTATACGGTTGAAAATATTGGGATAAGTTTGGTAAGCTCGCTTGGGGTAGTCAGGCAGCCTATGTGTCTGAGAGAGATGAAATACATACATTTGGCTCCAGTAATCAGAGTCAGCTCTTAATTCTGCTAGTGATTTAGATTTGCTCTCGCGTAAAGATTGAGGTAATTAGGAATAGTCAACAGCCACCTACTCATCCATCCTCTTCTACTGCCACTTTGGCAAATACACGTACTTCTGCATTTCTTGCGTCTCAGAGGCTATCCCCCTTGGTCATTGATTCAGGAGCCTTTGATCATATAACTGGTGAATCTTATGTGTTTTCTTCTCTCAATTAATTAGATTCCACTGCTTCTACTTCTCTTATATTGGCTGATGGTTCCTTATCTAGTGTGTCTAGCAAAGGAATTGTTTGTCCTACTCCTTCACTTTCATTGTCATTTGTTCTCTATGTTCCAAAGTTTCCATTTAGTTTGTTGTCAGTCAGAAATTTTTAAATCTCTTAAATGTTCAATGACTTTCTGTCCTTCACATTGTGTTTTTAGGATCTAAAGACGAAGAAGATGATTGGTGGTGGTCGTGAGTCTAGAGGACTCTACTGTCTTGATTGTTGTCTTGCTGGTGTTGATCTTCATTCTAGTGTTTCTCCCCTTCAATGGCATTCTGGCTTGGTCATCCATCTATCAATAATATGAAGTTGTTAGTTCCTTCATTAGAGCCTTTGTCAGCCCTAAAGTGTGAGGCTTATGAGTTAAGCAAGCATCATAGGATTTTGTTACACCGAAGAGTCAATAAACGAATGTTTGTCCTTTTACAGTGGTTCATTCAAATATTTGGGGTCTTGTTAGAGTTCAGAGTCTGTCTGGTTATAGTTTTTTTTTTAATTTTTGTGGATGATTTCTCTTGAATGACATGGATCTATTTAATAAAAGATAGATCTGAGACATTGTCTATTTTTAACTGTTTTATAAATAAACTCAGACTCAGTTTGGAAAGAACGTTTGTATTTTGCTATCAGATAATGCTAGTGAATACTTATCCTAAGATTTTCAGAAATATTGAACCATACATGGTATTTTGCATCAAACATCGTGTGTACATGCCCCTCAACAGAATGGGGTTGTAGAAAGAAAAATTCGTCATATAATAGAAGTAACTCGTGCTTTGTTGTTAAATATGCCTGTGCTAAAAATTTATTGGGTAAATGTTGTATTGACTACTTGTTATTTGATAAATTGCATGCCTACCTCTGTTTTAGAGGGAAAATCAGCGCTCTTTACTCTTTCCTGAGATACCTTTGTTTACAATTTCTCAAATTATTGGGTGTGTATGTTTTGTTCATGTTCTGGGCACTATCACTGACAAATTAGATCATCGATATGTTAAGTGTGAATTTTTAGGATATTCTAATACGTAAAAAGGTTATTGATGCTATCATCCTGGTTTGAAAAAAACGTTTGTTTGTGTTGACATTACCTTTTTTTAGAATACTACATATTTTTCTAATGAAAGGAAAATGATTGAATTTGACCCAATGGACCTCATTCAAGTAGAGA